TTGTGACAAGAAATATAGTGAGGTCTGATGTATTTGAATTTTACAAAAGTGAGAAGGAGAAGTTATACAAACACTTGGAGAAACTTCCAGGTACAATTACTTTAACTACTGATCTTTGGACATCTGATCATCAAGATATTGGTTATATATGCTTGACATTCATTTTATTGATGATGATTGGGAATTGAACAAAAAAATAATTGGTTATTGATGTATTGAATATCCTCATGATGCAGAAACACTTTTCAGATACATCACTGATATGATTTTGGAATGGAATTTGGAGAAAAAATTGTTCGCCATGGTGGTTGACAATGCTAGTGTTAATGATGCGATGGTAAGAAGCTTGAAAAGTTGGCTTTGTGACAAGTCTGCGATACATTTGGAAGGTGAGTTATTTCATATGCGTTGTAGTGCTCATATTCTTAATTTGATTGTGCAAGATGGGTTAAAAGTAATTGGAGAGTTTATTCATAAGGTTAGAGAAACTGTGAAGTATTTGAAAAGGTCTCCATATGCAACACAGAAATTTACTCATGCAAAAAATCAACTTAAGTTGAAAGATAAGAATAAGGTGAAGATGGATTGTTCTACTAGGTGGAATTCTACTTTTCAAATGATTGAAAGTGCAATAGAGATGAAAGAGGTGCTTTGGCGCTTAGCACAAACAGATCGTAATTATAAACTCTATCCAAGTGATAAAGAATGGAAAATTGCTAAAGTTATATGTAATTGCTTGAGAATATTTTATGATGCAACAAATCATTTTTCTGGTTCTCATTTTCCCACATCAATTGTGTTTTTTCCTAATGTTTGTAATATTCAACTACATTTATCTAAGTGGGAAAGTAGTGAGCATAGCTTTTTGTGTATTATGGCTGGCCTTATGAAATTGAAGTTTGTTAAATATTGGGAGGAATGTTGTTTGGTATTAGCAGTTGCTGTTGTTTTTCATCCAAGATTTAAAATGGATTTGGTTGAATATTATTATGTTAAGCTCTATGGTGTTGGTGCGCATACATATGTTGAAAGAGTTCATAAGGAAATATTTGACATTTTCAATGAGTATGATGATAGTTCATCTCAATCTCAAGTGGAAGTAAGTCAAGAACTTGGTTCTGGTTGTGATCATGGAATGGGGGCTTCTCTAGAGGACCAGTTAAGTGGGTTTGATTCTTTGTCAATACAATCTCGAGCTTCTGATTTGTCATGTTCTTTTAAAAATTCAGGGTTAGAGAAGTACTTGGAGGAGCCATTATTTCCAAGAACTGAAAATTTTAAAGTTTTGAATTGGTGGAAGGTTAATAGTGCTAAATTCCCTACTCTTGGAAAAATTGCTCGTGACATATTAGTTGTTCTAGCAACTACTGTTGCATCTGAAGCTGCATTTAGTGTGGGAGGAAGAGTAATTGATGATTTTCGTGCTTCATTGCTTCCGGAAACAGTAGAAGCTTTGGTGACTACACAAGATTGGCTTCTCTCGAAAAGAAGAGTAAGTATGCTGATTATTGAGTTTGGTTATATTTTTTTTCGAGTAGATATATATTATTATTTATTCCTTACAAGTAATTAATTTGTAACGTCCTTGTAGAACTTGACATGAATGCTACAAACAAGGCCCCACAAAACCAAAAATAATGTTCCTTAAAGATTGAAATTTATGTAAGTTTTACTTATAAATCTATGTTTTTAATTACTTGAAATGATATCTATTTGGTACATCCTTTATTCTTAAACGTCTTTTTTGTAGGTGCGGTGGAATGGTGGGTGACATGATATGGAGAAAGAGCCGAAACTTCTAAAGATGCACTTGACATTTTTCTTGTTTTCCTAGTTTTGACATTTTGCTACTTACTTCTCTCTAGAACATTTGTTGGATATGTATTCATTGCAAAATGCATATTTTGGTTCGTTTTAACTTGGTATTATCTTGTGGATTGTTTTCGTGTACATGCCAATTAGTCAATTACCAACACGTTAATATGGTTAATTCCTTATATTGCAATAAAAATGAATGTGTAAAATATTTCGGATCGGATATCCGATAATATAACAAATCGAATATGGATTTAACAATCAAATATCTATCGGATTAGATCGGATCCGTGAATCATTCTTATTGGATCGGATCAGATATGGGTAGATCTGGTCCATATCCGATCCATTGCTAGCCCTAGCTGTGAGCGAAGAGTAAGACCAAGTTTTACCACGTGTTACAAAAGTAGCACTCCTTCAAACAACTATGCTTACTCCATCCAAAGTTGGGCCTAGTCTTTCGAAACTCGGAAACTACCATCCCGATTAATGAGTGCATCTAGTGTCCATGTGTTCCACCATTTAAGGAACAAACACCTTCGCAAGTCCTTCTATAAATAGGATGGCAATCTGACTATTTAAGGGGAGAAAAATTCATTATCGAGTCTACAACGCTTCCTCGATATTCACCCACTTTGGTTAGCTTATTGCCATTACCATCATTTTCCATTATCAGTCACAATCGTATCGTCCATTCATTCTGCCACCATCACTATCAAAAATATTATCGGCGCCCACCTTTCGAATCAATTGTAGATTCAAGCTTCTACACTCACAAATGCCCACTTTTGGTGGCTCGAATAAGTGTACAATCACACTTATCATGAATCCACACTTTTATCTTACTTTGGTATTAGAGTTCATTAAGCCCCCGTTTGAGCCCCATTAAATTAAATTCCATTACATTAATTTTTTCTCTCTCTTCATTTCAACCACACATTCATCAAATAAAATAATATTACAGACAAATCTAAAACTTTTCAACCACACATTCTCCCATCAATCATTATTCTAAAAATTTTCAGTCCCCAAAAAATGGGGGCCAAACAGGGGCTAAGTTTCAATGAGCAATTCAATCCAACTAAAACTGAAAAATGAGAATATATATTTTAAGATTGGTCTGCACAAATAAGATACTCTATTGGGGGAATATTAAAGGATAGTCCTATATCGATTAAATATCGAAACATAAACCATCATATAGCCTACTTCTCTTTGTAAGGTTGACATTATAAAATGAAACTCAAATCTTGATACTAAGTAGTGAGCGAAGTGGAGTGTGATGCCTTGGCGTTGTGTAATAGTTCAATTTAGGAGTCTCTCTTTCTCCTATGGTCTTTTTATTACTGTAAGACTTGCAAGAAGTATGATTTTGTTCCTTTTGATTTTTCTCAGTGTTCTAAAAAACACGCTTAGCGCGAGGCATGATCAAAACACTTTGTCTTTACCGTGTGCACGAATTATGCGGAGTTGACCGCTTAATGCTTAGACCTACTTTATTAATTTTTTTCATTTTTTAAAAACCTTTTTTGACTTTAATTTATTAATTTTTTTCCTTTTTTTAAAAGGCCTTTATTTTACTTTAGTTTCAAGTTTTAAAATGACTTTTTTTTTTTTTTTTTACAAAAATCAAAAACAACTTTATCCAATAAAGGTTTAGATAAGATTCAAGCTACGATGCTATCTATATTTTGTAATTATGATTTTGAAACTTATCATATTGTTGAAAACTTCGAAATGTATGAAGTTCTTATAAATCTGTTAAATGAGACTTGTCTAGTTGAAAATTAAAACTATAAAAAATAGTCTAGTTTTTACATTTCGAAAACTTGAAAATTGTATAATTGACTAATTGTAAAAATTATTAAGTAAATATAGTATTTTATAATTTTAGATGTTTAGTATGTATTATTTTTAATTATTAAATAATTTTTAGAATGATTTGAGTATTTAAAATAATAAAAAAAGAAGTAACATTTTTTTACACCTTGGCCAGCATGACTAACTACGCTTTATGCTTTTTAGAACATTATTTTTTATTCGCATTGGGAATAGCCATGGTCTAGTTAATTTTGCTACTTCTACCACCAACTATTCAACGATGGGAAAATTTTATCAATCATGTTAAACAAGCAGGCTCAATGACAGGGATTGAAAATAGGGGACACGTGATGCAACATCATGGGACAGTTTGAAAAAAAAAACTTAGGTTTGTGTGGTCTCATTGATATAATAATAATAATAATAATAATAATAATAATAATTTTATCAATCATGTTAAACAAGCAGGCTCAATGACAGGGATTGAAAATAGGGGACACGTGATGCAACATCATGGGACAGTTTGAAAAAAAAAACTTAGGTNTATTATTATTATTATTATTATGCCACGAGTTACTTTCCTTGTAGACTAATTAAGTCGAGCATCGAAGTTCAATATTTGAGTTTAGTCGAATGCTAGATTTCAATTCTTAACAAGAATAACGTTTTGTGATTCTTCTTAATCGTAATCGAGCCAAGGTCTCAACCCCCAATCCATGTTTATTTATTTATTTTTCTAGTTTCTGGCGTGCCCAGCCCACCATTACGGCTATACTCCAATCCAATAGTAAACTTCTAAAGGATTCTAATGTTATATGCATTGGGAGGGAATGCAAAAACTGCAAAATCCTGGAGATGAGAAAGCAAAAATATCTGAGAGTTGTTAATAATATGTTTAAATTATAAATAGATAAAAACGTTAGATGAATAAATGAATAGTACTTGTGTGTCTTACTAAATGTGAATAAAAAGTGATTTGACAAACATGGACCCAGTTATTAAGCGCATTTTGTGAGCAGAAATCCTATGAGGGTTGTTTATACACCTCATCAAAAAAAACTTAAAGCTATTAGAGAGGGAGTACATTTACTTATTTTAATTCAGTTTTCAACAGCCTCCCCCCACCCCCATGTGTAGGCCGTATTCAATTTTTTTTATCAAAGACCCGACACATGCTCAATTTTCATAAATGGTAGTGGACACTCGAGAGACTTTGACTCAGAACCTCTCTGTTTGCTCTAATATCATATTGAACTATCTCATCTAAAAGTTTAAGATAAGTTACACCGTTATTGATTTAAATTTAGTCTTAAACAAGGGTATTTACTAATGAATATCACCAAAAAACATATATTAAAGGGAGATCAAATGATTACTTGAGGAGTGTTAGCCGCACTTTGATGCTCAGAGGGATAATCCGTGTCAAGAGCCTCACGATTGCCAAGACAGTAGAAGTTCAAGTAATCTTGTGGTGAGTACGCATCCTCGAGTCCAACCTCCATCAGAGCCTTGTAGATAGTCTCAAACATCATTTGCATGGTTTTATGCTAGAATAAAAGTTACAAGTCGAAAGACTACATCAATGAAACTCAATTATAAGAATTTAAAAGCTTTACACTGGTTAACAGATAGCTAATTATTTATACATATAATAATGAATTGATTAGAAATATGAAAATCGCAACCATTCCGAACAGAAGCCTTTATCTTCTGCTTCCCGACATATGCTAGTACGTACTAGAAGTAAAGGACAGTTCGTGTAAACTTTGGAAAGCACACCTGCCAAAACAAAATCCTTTGAGTAGCAGCACCTGTTGGATTACCCTCTGCCCACATTGGAATGACAATATATGCTGCAAATCTCTCGTGTGCTCTTATTTTGTTGGCAATCTTGAGGGCAATTTCTATCGGAATCAAATTATTTGCACCTGCAAAATAGAAGTATGCTTCTAAATTTGCACCCGTAGAAAACTTGAAACAGACCAAGACAAAAAGCACTATATGTAAGGGGGCAGTCAAATTGTCGAGACTACTAAACTATGACAAGGAAGTAACATACTTCACATGAAACTTCTTTGCATGTATGGTGCAATATAAGCTGATATCACTGAAAAAATGTTGCTTCTTTTTAAACTCGGCTGCCATTGTTGAGTCTTTTTTATTTATTTAGTGGGCTGTTGATTATTGTACACCTCTCCTGAGGTAAGTTTCTAGTGTTTGTGTTTGTTGTATGTATCAATGTGAAAAAAAACATGGTCCAGCAGGTGTTGAATCATTTCAAAATGAGCAAAGAACCAATAGCACTTGGGCAAATGGCCAAATTATAAATACGAAGTACCAGGACATCAACTTGCATTGACAATCCCTCCCACCATAAACACAAAAGAGAAAAAACAGTACAAATAATAAAATGAACAAAAGATGGAAATTACTAAAGAAGATTTCATAACTTCTTCCAGATATGAACATTGAAAACAGTAAAAATATGGAATGATCAAGATGCATGTGACCTGACTCTTAACCCAATTTACAACAGGAAGCACGGGCAGGCCATGTGCTTTATAATATCAAGTAAGTGGAGGCTAATCTACAGCAAAGAAACTGGACAGCGAAATAAATCATGGTGAAAAAGCTGACCATCATAAATCTGCATTTGGACATGCAAAACTACACACTGGCTAAATTTTTCGTGAAGGGAAAAAATAAGAATCAAAAGAACAATGAAGCAAGAAGTTTTCTACACTTTTCTCAGGTACTAAAAATGGATATTAAACCTCTTTAATTCTCCCAAGCACTAGGGACTATGCTGAACATAAATTCCTGTGCTGATGAATCACAAAATATCCATAGCTTATCTTGTGCGAAATTGTGGGAATCGCAATATAGCATTTTACTAAAAATGGAAAAAAAAAATGCAATTTCAGGAATATTCATATTGTTCATTAATTTATTCTCTATGACATGCATCTCAAGCCATTTGCGCAAGTCTTCACAAGCCATGTAACAAATGACAAGAAAGTGAACCAATAAAATTCACTTTCGATGACATGCTGATGGAGGGTGGTGGGATGGGGCTACAAGACTTAATCTTCATAACCATGTGACTTTAAGTCGACAAATAGATTCATGAAGGCGGGCCACCAAACTGTAGTCATATATACATACTTCGATAGAAAAATGGTCCGACAAAATAAATAACTTTAAGGCATCCAAATACTTCGGAATTAAAACCCAATATGCAAAAAAAGAACAGTTCCTTACCAACATCCTTATATGAACTCCAGTTGTATGAGGATCCAATGAAGTACTGATTTTCAACATAAATAAAATGTTGAGCAGCACGAATGGCCTCTACATATGCTGTGTGTATGCTCATATCTATAAGTACGTTCTTCCCACATACCAGGTTCTGTTACAGAAACCCGATTTAATGCTTAAGGAGGAAATTTTCCAAACCAAAAAGTTCTTAAAAAAAAAAGTAAGTTTATTATAGTTCACCCTCATTGTAGCTTCTTTAGGATCCTTTGGGAAGCCTCTGACTGAGTTTGAATCAATTGAATGAAACACCTGGATAAGATGAATAGCAGAACAATGATTAGCAAACTTCACATAAATCTAGTGAAACCTTGCAGTTTAACAGCCATTGTTATTGGTACACCTGAATATGCCAACTTTGAGGATCATCATCACTAACACAAGGAGCATCAGATAGCCCCAATACATCTGGTATCCTTTCCAGTCGGAGCAAAGCATCATCATATGACGTCTTCAATTTTTTATTCCATGTGGCTTTGCAGCTTTCATCCACCACTCTTCGAAATTGGTCAGAACATCATATGCTGCTGGACCGTCAATTTTACAGTGCAAGTCATGCCATGGTTCTCTTGGACCACCAGTAACACTACCCTGTTTGGGGAGTAATATGAATCCACATATAAGCACATGTATCCAGATAATGCAGCTTCATTTTCTTATTAACAGGGAATTATGGTTTGATTAAATTCTGTTTCCTTTTACTTTTAAGAGCATCCACAATCATATGATAGGCAAACCAAAGTAGTTCTTAATAGCAGGGAATTATGGTTTGATTAAATTCTGTTTCCTTTCACTTTTCAGAGCATCCACAATCATATAATAGGCAAACCAAAGTAGCTAAAGCTTCACATATCACTTAATGAGCTTAACAACAAATCTCAAATTAACAAGGGCATGGCCTTGGTTGATTATGTAGCCTTTTTTCTTAATTTTGAAGCTCATGTAACTTCTTCCTTTTGCACCGAATGGGGAATCAGTGGAGTTTTTTGGATTGCTAGAACTTCTCAAAAAAGATAATGAAGTTGAGCAGAGGGATTGAACCCCTCGTGTTGGCAAAGAAAAGGAAAGCAAAAAACAATAAACAAACAGTACATTGAGTAAAGATCAAGCTCAGGCCACACTAGAATCCAGGGTTTCTCATGAGCCATTGAACCCTCAGCTTGAGGGGCTTATTATCTCTATTGTTTTGCATATTTGGTAATGGGAGAAGGTAAAATAAAGCTGACAATTTTGACATGCTCAAGACATTAAAACTTCGGTATTTTACCATGTGAATACATCTCAAACAATCTCAGATTTCTTTAACATGATTGATAAAATATGCAATGCAAATAAAATATTATATAGTGCATCAACATTTCAATACGTACAGCAGCAAATTTTATTTAAGGTAAAATAATTACTGCATAAGTGGGGTTATGATAGTCATCAGTGTGCCAAGTTTTCAGTGTCCTAAATATATGATGCTGAGGAGTATCATATTGCCCATTACACAAGTCCAGTCCTCCAAGAAATGCAGTGATTCTTCTTCGATTATTTCGGGCATCAGCATCCACTATCACAGTCTTCTGATGATGCGTATAAATTACTCCAACTTCCTAATCATGAATATCAAACTTTGTTGTTAAATTCAGAATTTGTAGTAGGTTAATCAAACAATAAATGATCAGCACAATAGTGTAAAGCAAACTTCCGCTACGGTTTGAAAGTTAGACTGTCAAGCTTTCTGTTCTATTCGAAAGAGCTATTTACTATCATTGATATCATGGTATGCAATACATTTTCAATGTTATCTTTAACTCATTGCCAACAGGGTATGCCCAAAAAGAAAAAAATAATTAAAAAGAGAAAATACAGAGTTGATCAAGTCTAAGTTCTTTTTGGAAAAAGAAAAAAAGGACATATAAAAGAATGATTATAGATTGGAATATTCACCACAACCTTCAAGCTATGGAGATCTTAGCCAGAAAGTTAAGAATGTCAAGGAAAAATAAAAAAATGAGCAATATGTAAAAATAAACTCATTCCAACGACAAGCATAAAAAATAAACTCATTCCAACGACAAGCATAACAGTTACATTGATGAAAATCAAAAACCTTGACAACGAAAATGATAAAATAGGCATCATAAGAAACATAGATAAACTCAAAACTTACATATAACAGAAAAAAAAAATCTTTTAATTGCAAAGTTAAATAAATTTTAAGTAATAAGTGCAAAACTAGATAAGCCTGATTATTTTGTTGATTCTTGATTCTAGACTCTAACAGTATAAGTTTCCCTCCACAAAAATAAAACTTCGGGGCTGATGGCTTCATGCAGATGAGTGCATAATCCATTTTTCCCTTCGCCACAATATTATATGGGAGGGCTAAAGACTGCTTCTTGAAACAGAATATTCGTTCACATCCATCTCAAAACCTAGTAGTAGCATCTTTTGATGAGCTTCCAACAAGAAAAGTTCAAACCCATCTCCAACTAAGATTACATTACCGATGATCTTTATGCTCGCCTCAACCCCTTTCTATTAGTTAAATCCCTTTTGAAAGGAAGTGGTTGTCTTCGTCAGTTAAATGTTGGAACATGATCAATTGGCTATATCCCAGTGAGATTACATCAAATAGCATGAAAATTATTGAAGGGAAACAGATATCACCAGCCATCAGCAGCAGTTCAACATAAAGATGCATCATTTACGCCTTGAGACACAATAAGAACAAAAATGTCCTATGTTGCGCCTGTTAGTCAATATCACAGTTCAAGTGCTATATGATTTTTCAAGAATCTATAATTTCATAGTACTGGAAAAAATGTATGAACTTTTTATGAGAGTGTTTATGTAGATGAAACCTGAAAAAAAAAAAAAAAAAAAAGGAAATATTATTTACATCTGACATACCCTCTGCTTCACCCAACTGTAACGCTTCCCCGCCACTCGAGGACACAGCAACACTTGCACAGAAGAGTTTTTAAAGAAACGGCGAGTTTCTTCATCATGAGTTTGCATGACTCCATCCTGAATAGCTCACGTTTGTTATTCAAGAATAGGAGACAGTTAGAAATAAGAATATCATTTTGAAAACTTCAAGAGGAAATTAATCAAGAAAAAATAGTTTCAATTGCATAATAACGGAAACCTGATGTCTCTACTCTAGACATTTTCAAGGGGGAAAGCCCCTAAAGCATGACCCATTAAGCAATAAGAAAATTTAGGAACAGAAGCATGTAATCAGTTTAGTTAGATGGAGAAAATTGAATATTGAAATGCATAGTTCTAGAAATATAGAGGGAAAATTGCAAAAGCTCTCTCTCTCTCTCTCTGAATGGATAAATCACTTTGGGAGGTTTTAATATAATTTCAATATTATTATTTCTTTGGAATAAAAATTAAACTTTTATTCTAGACCATTTGAGTGAAAAAGAAAGCTGACTTCAAAGTGCTTTCTATAATTGCAAAATTAATATTTAATTGTATCACATATTAACAAGTAATATTTAAATGTATAGTCATTCTACATGTACATTATCATTCACATATTGGATAGTTTAAATTTTTGACAATTTTTTCACCCAATCAACACTTGCCAACACTTAATGTCAAACAATAATGTCAACAAAAGAGTGTCCAAGTGGAATTTTCCTTAACTGTGTCACATCTATATGATTTGTGTTTGACTTCCAGAGGTGGAGGGTGAAGAAAGTACTATGTCGAAGTCTGCAGCGACATTTTAAGAGTGTGAGCAAAAGTTCTGTCACTCAAACATTGTACATAGAGTTTTTGTGACAGCAAAATACAACCTCAGTCATTTGGAGTAATGTGACAAACTTTGACACATGGATACATCATCCAATCACAGTCTCAAATGATATTAGAGTATGCCATTTGGAATGCAGAAAATCCACTTATGACTTATTAGGTGCAAGACAAGCACCTACCGTTCTGTAGCCCAGTATGCTTCCTGATGTAGGGTCATCCCATACAAGCAGCAAAACTCTCACTCCTTCCTGTGACTTTGATCTCAGAAGCTCCCCCAGAGTGCTACATGACACAGAATTATCATCCCTAACCAGCCTAACTTTGTGCCACACTGACCACCCAGTAATATATATCAAACGGCGGGCCTGACGTATAGCATCAAATATGTCATGCCAACATTTTTCATGCTCATACTGCATCCCGTTCTCAAGTTTTAGAATTGGGAGACATCCATCAGGAACGTGAGCATCTTGATAAAGAGTAACCATTCCACCTCTCCTAAGAGGAAAGTATGTCCCAGGAACTCCACGATAATCAGGACCAGCTCCAATTCCATGATGGTAGATGCTTAAATTCTCTATTGGGGTATATTGAATGGAGATATACAAAATAGCCCCAGCCTTGCAGGGCTTCCCACTTGTGCTAAGGATTGGAAAGAACCCCTCAATTTTTGCTCCCCCATATAAATGTTCCACTGGAACAGTCACTGTCCCTATAAACTGTGATCCCACAACATCATTATCTTTCACTACAAAGTGCACTTCGGCAGCATAGTGAGCAACTGGAAGATTAAAATGTTGCGTCCAAACAGGATTCTCATTATTTCTTATCACAAAAGTCCTTCCAATTGTAGCACCTGTTACTGTGATGGAGACATATGGATCACTTGTGTTCTTGAGGTTGTTGAACATATCTCCTATAGTTTTATGGAACATATCCATGTTAGGAAGATTTCTTGCTTCATATACCCAAATATCCATATTCCCATGTAAGAGCAACACTTTCAAAGACCCTTTAGGAGATGGAGCTGCCATAATCTGCATATTCTGAGCATGTGATGTCTCCGCATTAGTGGCCGAATTTGATGAGGCAGGAACAGAAGGGTGCTCCATCTGACCTGTAGAAGAAGTCTCCCAGCGAGAAGAGGAATTAAGATGTCCATATATAGCCCCCACACTATTATAGTTATTAGTCATTGGCAAGGGTCCAGAGTGATAGTTTGGAGGGGAACTAGGCAATGAGGCTGACGGAGAAGGAGGGGAGGCAGGAGCAGATGGTTTAATGCAATTATTAGACAAATGAACATTTTCCATGAGACCATCGATAGATGGATAAACTGGAGGGCGAGTTCTATAACCATCATTGATGTGATCAGAATTTCCCGTAGGACCACTCACGGATGATGAACTATCTTGGTAATGGTAGTAACTGGAGTACTCACCACTAATTCTAGGCGGCACATTGGCTTGATTATCTGGAGGCTGCAATGGCCTGGAGTTCTGACGTTGGAGATAATGGGAAGAACCATAATGGAAACTACCATATGATTGATGGGTCGACTGAGGAGGGGTTGACGTTGGTGGAGGAGGTGGGTATCCATGAAACTGGTGAGTGAGGGTGGTAACTATTCTCTAAAGGTCCAGATGTAGCAGGAGGTGCAGATAGTGGCATTGGACCTGAATATGGATAATTCAAAGGGCCGGAACCTGAAGTGTTGTAAAATGGAGGAGGCGGATAATGAGAGTACTGTGGATAAGGGTACGGGACAGAGCCAGGAGGAGGATGACCGGGGTATGAACCCGGGTTTTTTTGATTTGGAGGGGGTGGAACATGGGGGTAACCATACGTGCTGTATTGATAGGGAGGCAGAGAATGGTAGTTGTTGTTGTCCATCAACACATACAAATCTTCTTAACTTCTGATTCTTTTCTAAATTGATAAATATTACAATTGAATCACAAAAAACTCAAAGATTGCAAAACTCAAAATGGGCTCTGCATTAGACCCAAGAAAGATCTATACTCAACCTCATCAAAAAATAATGAACAAACAATTTAGAAACTGACCACGACAAAGAAAAAAAGGGCAATTTCCAAGGGGATTTTGATTAAAAAGATGATAAATCTTTAGAGATTATGCAAAAAGATCAAATGGGTTCTTGCGAATTCTTTCAATGATTTAAGAATATGCTTCATATTCAACATTGTACCTTTAGACGAGGATTCCCACCATAAACAATCATAGGATGTATTGACCGAAAGAGGAAAAAGAAAATTATGAAAATAACAGGTGAATTGTGACATGTTACAAACCCAATTTTTCTTGGAGAAATTTATCTGAAAATGACGAGGTTTCGGAATGTTATATATGCTTCGTAGATCCGTACAAGGTCAGATTTACCAGCTGATTGCTAGTTTAATCAAGATTACGTGGAGCCACCTGATTGGCTATCAGTAGTAAAATGCAAAATGTGTAATTTGCATCAGATTTCTACCCTCTCGTTAGCCCTTCTTTCATGGCTATTATTTTTTTAAAATATAGTTTTTAATATTAATTTTTTAAAGATTATCAAGTTAAAAAAATTTGGAAAAATTTTATATTTGCGTACAAAATATTTATTTTATAAATATAGTGTTGAAAATAAATTTGAAAATAAATATGAAAATTAAAGAGTTTTGATTTAAGAGAACAAAAATGCTTTCAACCTTGATATTTACAAGAATTAGAATTGTGTCAAAATGATTGCATTCATACTATATTGTAATAATCATACAGTCATTTGGTTCATAAGAATGTGGAATTTTTAATTTGAATGGTATATTTCAAAGGAATTAAATTGATTTTATAATTCAAAGTAATTTATACACTCTTAAATTCACATCCTCAATGAGGAAAAAAAATATAGCCACGCTATTGCAATCTTAAACAAATATTTCTAAGCTCGTGTTTGATGAGGATTAAAATTAAATTTTTTGTAGATTTTGACAAAAGTTGATGAAATGTGTGGTTGAAAATTTTATAGGTCACTTAAAATATGTGGTTAAAATTAATTGTTAACTTTAATTTAGATTAACATTTAAATTTTAATTTGTAGCGAACAGGGCTAAATCTGGTTATTAGAGAATTACAATTATGAATAACTAATAATATAGAGAGGCTTTAAAGGGCACAAGTAAATACTTATTTTCATGGGTAGATTAAGAATCGAACTAAAAAAATTTCAAGTGGGCTTATATATATTTCACAAAAAAATAGGGAAAATTATATAAATGCAGGTGTTTGAAGATAGCTTTTCAAAAATTAAGTCTAAATTTTACTTATTGAAAAATCGGGTAATAATTTTATATTTTAAAAAATATATTAATATTAAAACCCTAATAATTTTTTCATATGTGCTCTCTCTACCCCCTCCCTTCTCTCTCTCCTCTCATTCTCTCTACTTTCTCCCTCGTTTAACGGTGCCACCGGAAGACATCATCGTCCACTGAGTATGAAGCCGCTGTAGTAGCGATGCTGTAGTTCCCAGCGGCATCGAACGCGACGTTGAGGCTGCTGTCGTTCTCGATGGTGCACCAGTCGCCGCCACATACAATCGCGCGTAGTGTAGCCGCCGTAGGACTTTATCATATATGTCAGATCGCTAGTCAAAAATTGGAATCGAATGCCCAAATTAATTAAACCCTAGATGAGTTGGGCATCGACAATTGGTGTATTCGGCAGCAACGACATTTGGTAGTTGTGTTGTTTTCAGTTTGTAAATGATTGTGTCTTAATGGTGGTTGTCGTGGTGAGGGGTGGTGGTGTTCAGTGGTGGTGGTGCGATGATAGTCGTGCAGGTTGTTTGTTGGTGGCGAAGGAAGTGATGGTGGCTGTGGCGGTGATGACAGTGGTGGTGTATCTCTCCGTTGGTGGCGGTGGTGTGATGTGGTGGTGTTGGCAAGAGGTGGTGGCAGGTTTGTGGTGGGTGGTGTGATGTGGTGTGGTGGAGGTGGTTGTCAGTGGCTTTGTTGGTGCTGTTGCGGCGATGACAGCATGGTGAGGGTGTTCGAAAGTGGCCATAGTAGTAGTGGGGGTAGTTTGTGACCAGTGTTTGATAATCTGTAACCAAATGTTTGATAATTTGTGACCAATTACTCAACTGTGACCTAAAAATTTAATAATATGTGACTTAAAAATAATATATGACCAACTAATTTAAAAATCTGTGATCTCGAAATAATTTATGACATACAAAATTTTTGATATGTGATCTCGAAATAATATGTGATCAATTAATTTTAAAATATGTAACTTGTGACCTATAATTATGTATATGTGACCATTAATTATATAAAAGTGATCTTATTATATTTCATTAATAAATATATTTAATTAATTAACTAAAATCTGATTTTTGCATTAATCAAACTTAAAACCTGATTTTTGAATTGTGTATAGTTAATCCTTGACTTTTGAACTCTTCCCTAAAAAATATTTTTTACATAATTTGTTTTTACCCATCAAAATGAAATGGGCTTGGGCCACCCCCGTTTATTCTAACTTCTAAGAGTGAATGGTGAAACTGAATTTGTGATTGTGTGTTTGAGATCGGTGGTTTATGCTTTTGTTCTAAAATTTAATGTAAAAATAGCTTATGGTTGAAAATTTAGAATTGAGCATTGATTTTGCACTACAACTATGTTTTTAATTATACTCTACATAAAACATTTTGAACTTGTCGAGTTAAAAATAAATAAATTACCTCCATTGATGTGTAAATGTTAACATACTCTCAAATTAAATTAGTCGCTCATCTTCGTCAATAAAAAGAAATTAGTCAAGCATCTTTGAACTAGAAGAGCACGTTTCTGTATAAAACTACATCACATGAAATTTCTTGAAGTAGAAGAAAGTAATCTATTAAAATGTAGTCTTCGGTAGTCGTTTTGCAAAACAATCAAGATATCAGAATTGCTATGATACCAATTGTTGTGAAACAAACTACTGGATTGAGATGTTGAAGTTATATGGCAAATAATAATAAAGTATTTGATCAAGCAAACGAATAAAGAAGACAAGAATATGGTGGGGGAATTAAGAGATTTTATTGACTCAAGAATAATGGAGAAGAGAGAAAATTGCAGTGGATCTTATAATTCCAGTCATCTATTTTCTCACACTATAAAATTGTATAGAAGAGCCTAGTAGTTATAGGGAATAAGTAGGGGATGTCCAAACCCACACAATAGAGTTGTTGATGAAGTACGATACCATAATATTGAGTCTAAAACAAATTTCAACTCTCAATGGCCTTCCAAAATAGAACTTCAACGTGACATANTAGAATTTCAACATGACATAGGACTCGAGGGATATTCCAAATTTGAATTCTTCATGACGTGCACTTCAATTAGAATTCGTCAATTACTTCAACAAGGAATTCGGGGTAACACCCAAATTCTAACAATCTCCACCTTCACACGAGTTCCACTAAGGAATGAACTGGCTTCTTCAACAATAACCAAAAAATTAATTTCTCCAACAAAACACAAAATGCTCCACTTCTTCCAATGAATCCAAGCACTACTCTGCAAAATTACCTCAAATTCTCAAAAATCATAATGATTTTATAATTTACCAAAATGAGATGTAACACACCCCAAAGCAGAATCAATACTAAATGCTTTTACAGAAGGCTCCTTGTTAGATTGTACACCTTCTACTCCACTTAAAGCATGCTCAACAAAATCAGCATCCACATACCATTTTCCATTGGGTCGTCCCTAGCAATTGAATACAATGGCACCGCAGGTGATGGTGGCAAAGCGGCATTATCCATATCTCCTGAACTCCACTGAACTGTATTCTTCAAATCCGACCATTTATAAACTCCAAAAAGTATTGTACCAATCTGAATGTCCACACGGTCATGAACTTGTCCTGCTTGACTCTTTTAAATTCTGCACGACTCTGCACACCACGGTCCTGAACTTGTGCTGATTGACTCTTCACGACCCTGCACGATGTATAACCGAGACCTTTTCTGTCCCTCCAATACAACTTGGGCACCATTCCAAACCTTCAAACCTCTACCTCCACCAAAGAACTCGTAACCTTTTGAATCAAGGATAGACAACGAGATGAGATTTTTCTTCAAATCTGGAACATGTCGAACATGGCCAAGTATTCTAATTGTCTCATCCAAAAGCTTCAGTCTGACTGTGCCAATTCCAACAACCCGACAAGATGCGTTGTTTCCCATAACTACGACACATTTGGAAACAGTTTCATATGTAGCAAACAAGTCCTTATTAGGACACATATGAAACACACATGCTGAATCAAAAATCCAATCATCTTCCAGTTTAGATTCAATGTTAGAAAAAGTTAAGTCAAGGGGTAGTGAATGTTGCATCTCCACGAGGTCTGCTTCGCATGAAGTATCTGAATATCTACTTGCAACCATCATTTCTTTATTCTGCAATTTGTAGCAATTAAGTGCCCCTTCTTCTTGCAATAGTTACAAATTTGATTACTGAATTTAGATTTCGATCTGATCCATCCAGAAATACCATGAGCACCTAAGCCTTCTCCATCTCTGACCTCAGAAACTAGATGCTTCATCTTCTCTTTTGAATACAAAATATCATACACTTTCTCTATGGTGAGAGTATCATGACTATACAAAATCGTGTCTCTAAATGAAGAAAAAGAAGTGGGCAACGAACACAATAGGATCAATGCTAAATCTTCTTCATCATACTCTACTTCCAAAGGTTTCAAATCAGTGACGATCTCCTTAAATACAGTCGGATGATCTTCCAATGATCCTCCTTTTGCCATTCAATGAGAGTATAAACGCTGCTTGAGATTCAACTTGCTTGTCAGACTTTTAGTCATGCACAATTGCTCCA